CACATTGCTGCATCATGATTTTTTTGACATACAGTAGTGAACTCCTTGTCAATTGCCAAGAGCCCAAACTACGTACGTATTTAACTCCAACTGAGAAAAGTGGCTTGGGTCACACTGGGATAGGATAATGACTGAGTGCCCTACCTTCACAACCTCCAATGGATTTACTGCCCAGCAGAAAATGCAGCTCCAAGTCGTCCATATTTTTAAATACTGGTTGATTAATCCTGGAAGGGGACATATTTTTAAAAGAGACAGAACAAACACAAAGCTGTGAAATACCTGCAAAGAATGCAGGGGCTGGAACAGATTTCCTCAATTGTTAGCATGCACATGAGAGACAATGCAAGCAAATCACTCCTGTGTAAAATTCAGCAGTGCAACACACTACTGAAAACATAGCAAGCCTATTGGATATATCACTTCTTTTCGGAGAAAAGTAGGTTTAGAAATGCAACACATTGATCTACATAACTTTTTAAACTGGATTGGAAATAACAATGAAAACCTACTAACACTGTTTCAACCAGAAGGGAGATTAGGCAATGATGAGATTAATTAATACTCTGAATATTTCTCGCCATTATTTGTTTAAAAAGTTTACTTTCTATTTGCAGGTCTATGTAGCCATAATTGTAATGGAGCACGTTCTCAAAGGTGGCATTTCAGTAAGCTCCAGGTCTCTGCAATGTAGATTTGTTTTTTGCCATATTATTCTCCATGATACAAACAAGACAGAAAATTCAAGCTTACAAATCTAAATTGACACAAAGTATCTAAAAAAAGGGTTACGGTATGGTGGATGCTACGAGTTCAGTTACACCGCCTGTAATAAAATTGGTGTGAAATAAATACTTAAAACTTTTTGTAACCTTTTGGTCCAGACACATAAAAAGTGCAATATGTACAGCATTTTTCTTACTCTGAAATTACAATACTTCGAAACACTTTAGAAAGCACCCTAGTAAAAAATAGTTCTACAGGTAAAAGTTTACAAGACACAGGAGTCCCTAAAACATACCACAAACTGATTAGTAATAATGACAGAATGCCATCTACACAACTAGTGCACTGTTTGTGTAAACGGATTTCCTTGCTCATTCGTCCATGAATGCACCTAATGCTTGACCCTAAAATCTTTACTGATGGAAGCGGCTTACGGCAGATTTGATACAAACTGTAGAACAAGATTTCTTTCCTGCTCTTATTGGGAAAAAAAATCATTAGGCCATTCAAGGTAGCAAGTGATTCAGCAGAAAGACATTTTTGATGCAGTTCTTCAGGTCACTGTAGTGAAAACTGTTTTTAAGTTGCTTTAGGATAGATTTTTTCATAGAAAAAGCTCTTGCTAAGGAGGTAAAGTTCACCATCCTTTTCTCTCACTGCGTGAGCTCTAATAAATTGAAACTGTTCCAGAGCAAACTCGTAGAACTCGTTTTCCATTTTCCAAATCTCAGACACTTGCAGTCTCGCAATGGTTTCTTTAGTGGGCAGTTTCTTCTCTGTTGTTTTTCTAAGATGAGATTTCTTTCCTGGTTGTAAATTAAGGAAGAAGTCAGAAAAAAAGAGAGCTTAAGAATTTTTAGCATTGAATGCACATCTGCATGGGTTAAATTTGTAGGTTACAGTGGGTTTTGTTTCAGTTGCAAAATTAAGTTACAGGTTAGTTGAAGCAGAAAACATTACCAATGAATGACATTAATAAGAGTTTCATTACACACTAAACAGCCGCACAAATCTTACAGAAACTTGCTGTATTTTGTCAACTATTTTCACTTTTAATGTTCCTTCTCTGAAAATAGGACAAAATCAGAAAGTAGCAGCAAAAGTTAGAAAAATAAACAACTGTAGGAAATGGCCTTGCAGTATCTGTTATTCTGGTCACACATTTAAATCTCGATCACAGTAAACACTGTACCTGACCTCAACTGATACATATATGTCAAGAAGGTCTCTACAGATATTGATGATTAATGGGAACTCTAGTCATATTCTCCCTACATCCTTGGCCTAATGGCACTGAGGCCAATTATGCAGCCCTGAAGTGTCACTTAAGAGACTGGAGGATGATGTTTTAACAGGGACAGAAATAATACAAAATATTTTTGATCATTGTAAGGGTTAACAATGCAATGGATTTTTTCTTAAACTGGTTTAAAATACAGTAATTACCATGATTACACCTGTACAAAAGCATGTTTATGACAAAGATAGTAAAGAGACAGGAATGGTTATATAAGTTATCTTTAGACTTTGTGGGCAATCAACTACCGCTGATGTAGAATGGTCATGAGGAGGTTTTCACAACAAGGTCATGACTGCTTCCCTCCTTCATAGAAGGGGCTTGGCTTGTATCCTGCTTTAGCAACTTCATGTAGTAAATTTAATGGAGTGGGAGTATTAAGTTTTGGCATCTTTAACATTGCACTGACATGCTGCTTAGTACAACTTTTATTCATTAACTTTTTAAAAGCTTTTGACCGTAGTCTGAATTTCATGCCAACATAGCCAATTTTGTATTGTCTAACAATATCTCTATGTTCAAATCCAAATTATTGATGCATACCACAAAAAGCAAAGGATCTCATAAAAAGCCCTGTGGAACCCCAATGGAAACAATCTTCCAATCTCAAAAATATTCATTGATAACTACCCCTTGTGTCCTGTCACTGAAACAATTTTGGATCCAACTTGTCACTTTGACTCAGAGATGTTTACAGCAAAGGAGGAGGCAATTCAGCATATTATGTCTGTACCAGTAAACAAAAGTCAGATGACACTAATCCTATTTTCCAGCTCTTAGCCCACTGCCCTGGAGGCTATGGCAACACAAGTGAATATCTAAATACTGGCAAAATGTTATCAGAGTTTCTGATTCATTACAGACATTCTTTTACTCCATTCTTTGTGGACAGATTAGCTTGACTGGGCCTGTATTCACTAGAGTTTAGAGGAAGAATAAGAGGGGACCTGATTGAAACCTATATAATTCTCAATAGACTAGATGCAGGGAGAATGTTTTATCAGTTGGGGAGTCTAGAACCAGGGGTCATACCATAGAATCGTCATAGAATCCCTACAATGTGGAAACAGGCTGTTTGGCCCAACAAGTCCACACCGCCCCTCTGAAGAGCATCCCATCCAGACTCATTCCCTTATTTCCCATGTCTAACCCACCTAACCTAAACATCCCTGGGGACTATGGGCAATTTAGCACGACCAATTCATCTACCCTGCACATCTTTGGACAGTGGGAGGAAACCGGAGCACCCAGAGGAAACCCACACAGACATGGGGAGAATGTGCAAACTCCACACAGACAGTCGCCCAAGGCTAGAATCGAAACTGGGTCCCTGGCGCTGTGAGGCAGCAATGCTAACCACTGAGCCACTGTGCTGCCCCTCTACCTACAGGGTAGAGCATTTAGGATTAAGATGAGGAAAGCTTTCTTCACTCATAGGGAAATGAACCTGTAGAATTCTCTACCACAGAAGGGTGTGAAGGAGGAGTTGATGACATAGTGGTATTATCGCTGGACTGTTAATCCAAAGACCAGGTAAAGTTCTGGTAACCCAGGTTCAAATCTCACCACTGCAGGTGGTGGAATTTGAATTCAATAAAAAATTAAGCAACTAGTGATGACCATGGATCCATTGTTGATTTTCGGGAAAACCCATCTGGTTCAGGAATGTCCTTTCAGAAAGAAAACTGCCATCCTTACCTGGTCTGGCCTACATGTGACTCCAGACCCACAGCAATGTGGTTGACTCTTAACTGTCTTCTGAGCAATTAGGGATTGGCAATATTTCACATACCTCTTCCCTAAATGCAATGCCTCTTTTGGCTCTGTCTTTTGTGAAAAGAGATGCAAAGTAAACATTAAGAACCTTACCACTGTCATCTCCACATGGAGAGATTACCTCAGTGGTGCTGGAAGCGTCATATTCCTTGTTTCATTTATTCTGTGAATTTGTGAGCATGTTCTTTGATCTGGCTTGACAATAATTACCTAATTTTGTTTTACTTCTAGCCCTACACTTTCTATACCCCTTCAGGTTTTAAACAGTAATGAGCCCTTGGTATTTGGCTTTCTTTCTTCATCTTCTCCTTTCAGACCCTTAATGCTCTAGGGCCTCTAGAACAGTTAGTTTCACCCTTTCTATTTAAGGGACAATACTTGCTTTGAACCTCACAATTGCATAGAGTCATACACTACCGAAACAGACCCTTCAGTCCAACTCGTCCATGCCGACCAAGTTTCCCGATCTAAACCAGTCCCACTTGCCTGCATTTGGCCAATATCCCTCTAAACCTTTCTTATTCATGTACCTATCTAAATATTTTTTAAATGTTGTAACTGTACCTGCATCTACCACTTCCTCTGGCAGTTCATTCCACATACGAACCGCCTTCTGTGTGAAAACATTGTCCCTCAGGTCCCTTTTAAACCTTTCTCCTCTCACCTTAAAGTTATGCCCTCTAATTTTGTACTCCACCACCCTACGGAAAAGACCTTTGCTATTCATCCTATCCATGCCCCTCATGATTTTATAAACCCCTATTAGGACACCCCTTAACCTTCTATACTCCAGTGAAAAAAGTCCTGACCTATACAGCCTCTCCTTTTAAGTCAAACCCTCCAGTTCTGGCAACATCCCAGTAAATCTTTTCTGAAACCTCTCCAAGTTAATAATATCCTTCCTGGGTGACCAGAACTATACACGGTACTCCAAAAGTGGCCTCACCAATGTACTGTACAACCTCAACATGACGTTTAAACTCCTATATTCAAAGGTCTGCGCAATGAAGGCAAGTGCACTAAATGCCTTTTAAACCACCCTGTCTATCTGCGACACAACTCTCAAAGAACCATGTATCTGAACCTCTAGGTCTCTCTGTTCGACAATACTACCCAGGGCCCTACCATTAACTGTATAAGTCCTGCCCTTATTTGTTTTTAATCAAAATGCAATACCTTGCATTTATCCAAATTAAAGTCCATCTGCCACATCTCAGCCCATTGGCCTGATTGATTAAGATCCCTTTGTAATCTTAGATAACGTTCTACACTGTCGACTCTATCACCAATTTTGGTGTCATTCATGACTTATTAGCCATGCCTCCTAAATTCTCATCCAAGTCATTTATATAAATGACAAACAACAGTGGACCCAGTACCAATCCCTGCGGAACACCGCTGGTCATAGGACTCCAGTCCGTAAAACAACCCTCCAGCACCACCCTCTATCTTCTACCATCAAGCCAATTTTTATTCGGCTCCCCTAAATCCCATATAATCTAACTTTACTAATTAATCCGCCATGCAGAACCTTGTCAAAGGCTTTACTAATGTCCATGTAGGGAATGCTCTCAATCTTTTTCGTTACATATTCAAATAACTCAATTAAGTTTGTGAGACAACATTTCCCATGCACAAAACCATGCTGACTATCCCTATTCAGTCTTTGCCTCTCCAAATGCATGTAAATCCTATCTCTCAGAATCCCTTCCAACAAGTTACCACCACTGAGATCAGACTCACCAGTTTATAGTTCCCAGGCTTCTCCTTACAGCCTTTCTTAAATAAAGGCACAACATTAGCCACCCTCCAGTTTTCCGGCACCTCACTTGTGGTTGTAGATGATACAAGTAGCTCTGCTTGAACATCTTCCACCAATGTAGCACTCATTTATTTACAAGTAGTGATTCCAGTCCACTTTAGCAAAAGCATATTGCAGCTGAGTAAAACTAGCTTTTTTCCCCAGTTGAGAATTTTCATTCCTAGTCTTTGTTCTTTTCCATCACTAATCTAAATCTAACAGTTACGGTCACTTCCATCAAGGTGCTCCCCACTAATACCTGTTCCATCTGTCCAGCTTCGTTCTGAGCAAAAACTATGTCAGAGCCTCCTGGCTGCTCTTGTTGGATTTGCTGCATACCAGTTCCATTGATACTAACTTATCCATAACACTAACATTCAAAGCAAGCTTGGAAACTAACTCCAGGTTTCAGATGACGTTGATTCCTAGAAACCATTTTTCTAAATTTCTAAATTGAGAATCTCTTACAATACTGTTAAAAGATTACAACTACATTGCCAAGCATACACCGTTTTCAGACGGACCTGTACGATATAATTCTGTTGCTCCTCTAAAGAAGCGTGGCAAGGCTGCTTCCAGAAGCATTATAAAATCTTCTAATTCCTCGGTTATCCCGACAAGAAGATACTCGTTAACCAGGTTGTACTTGGCTTGCTCCAAAGCCCATTTGCTTCCAACATTCCTATAAAGACAAAGAGTAATGGTGGTTGGCAGTATATAGACAGAAAAAGGATTTGTACAGATCCTTATATATTTTAATTACAACTGGAACAGAACAAGTAATTAATCTCTCTCTTTCCTGTCGTAGTTACAATCTTATTAAAAACACTGATGTTTAGGAAATAGGTCACAAATACTACTACTTTTACCAAGATGAATACTAAGCCTTTATTTACAATTTTTTCCCTTTAAATCAGATGGGTTGACTAACACTCTGACAATTCTGGTCACTGGGCATTTTATACCATTCACAGCCAATTAGTTATCAACAGGATACATAGAAAATCACAGGCATATTCTGCAAATTCATGTTTAGCATAAATCGCACTGCGAGCTGCAATTTCTAAACTGTTTGTTTTTAAAATGCAAATTATATCAGAATGTACTTTAGAGTTATACCTAACATAATCATGTTACAGTTACCCATTGAAACTACAAGGGTGTTGTTTGTTGATTATTTGTACGCAGCATACTGTCATTTTAAAATGTTATTTTTTGGAGATATATGTGTTACCGCTATTAGCCTGCAATACCAGTAACTCTTCTGACTAGATATTCTAAACTTCTGGCAGTGTACAAGGTGTGAAATCCCATACTATGACAAATGGTCCAAATGCTTCTTGAAAGGTCAATGATTAAGATTGTAGAAACATTCCAAAATATAACCAAAAGGTTCTTGTTTTAAAGTTGAAATTTAATTATGGCTACCAGGGATTCACTGTCTTTATACGACATTAGCTAGTCAACAACCTACTCTGAGGATTCAAAAACTTACCTCAAAAGATGTTTCAGGTTTCACTTTCATAAAACATACTGGTTGGATTTTCTCAGGCGTGGCAGCTGTAGTCATGTTGCCACTCAGCTCCTATATTTTACATTAAGAGTGAGCTCCAAATTTCTGGCAAGAGACTCCAATCTCGGATCGTGTAGAAATGTGGGATATGCCTTCAATCCAACTGTGTCCTCTACTGCAGAAATAGTTAAGCAAAGGCAAACCATACTTGTTTCTTCATGGGAATAGTTGCCATATTGTGACTAAGTGTCAAGATGGCTCCTGAGTTAGGGCAAACATGTAAAGTAAGTGAGAGGTTAGGATCTCAGGTGAGACAATGTCATGATGCAAGGCCAAGAGCTAAGCGCCTGATGTTTAGGGTAGGTTAAGGGTATATGGCCTGGCAGGGAGATTGGAGGGGTGGGAGGATGTGTCAAACAAGTGAGTGTCAGGGAAGAAGGGAAGTATTGGATTGTGGGGTGGGGGAGGGCAACTTTGTTGACGGCAGCAGTTGGTGGGAGACTCTTCTGGAACTGGAGGTCTACGCGTCTGATGAGGCATAGTCAAAGAGTGAATGAAATTTAGGGTTTTAGCTTAACAGTTACCCAGGAGTTAGACTAGGTCTTTCATAGTCTAACTTTCCTGCCTAAATAATAATTTATTTGGAGTAGAACTTTCTGAATTCTCCAGTTCAAATGGATACTTTCAGAGGAAAGGCACAGGAAAACTGGCCAGAAAATCTTCAATTTTCTGAGCAATTCCCCTGGGAGTCTTTTAACCTGGGAATCCTGGTTTTGACGTGCAATTCTAGCCGGTACTGCACAAACGACTATATGCCCATTGGAATATCTAGCCACTGGAAAATCTGGGCCTGTGTTTCTGTCAGATGACATTGAAACACTGCAGTTTATAAAAACATCAGTCTCTGCATTTTTAACAGCAAACAACCTCCATTCAGGAAAAAAGGTTTTGGAAACCCAAGCAGAAATCATCTAATATTGTTTTTTTCCCATATATCATATCTCCACAGATGTATCAATGCAAATGAACCTTGGCTTTCCTTTAAGATGACACGGGCAGTATGAAGAATGTGCCCTTGATGGCAGATCAGATTGTGTGAATACAAACGCTACAAAACTTTTATAAAATAGCACATCACATGACAAACATGTTGGAAAATTGGATCTGAGACTTGATATCTTCAGTAGTAACAGTACTTCAGTTTATTGCCCTACCAAAGGATAGCAATCACTCAGTATTTAAGTACTAGCCTATGTTGTGTACTCAAGTCCAGAATTCTGGATCTGTACATTACATCTGACACACAACCTTGAGTGCTATTAATTGACCTCAAACTGAGATTAAGAAATGCAAAGCAAAACTCCTGTATGCCTTAACCATAACCCCACCAAGATTTCCTATTTTTCACTTCACTCATTCTCATTGCATCCTGAGGGAAAGGTTACGGCATTTTGTGCAAACCAGGCAGTTTTGAATTGTGGTCTTGTGCATCTTTAAATCAGAAATTCTTCATTTCTGAAGAAGGGTCTAGACCCGAAACGTCAGATTTCCTGCTCCTCTGACGCTGCTTGGCCTGCTGTGTTCATCCAGCTCTACACCTTATCTCAGATTCTCCAGCATCAGCAGTTCCTACTATCTTTGAATTGTGGGCATGTACCTAAAAATGAAAATTATTTCATGTGTGGCTGATTAAAAGTGAGGGACTTGGAAATTGATAGACTATGTTGAATTCAAATCCCAAATCTTCACAGTAGAAATTAATATAAGCAAGATTAATAGTTTGGGCAATTGAAAATCATCGGTCATCTGGACTATCTTTCCAAGCCTTCCACCTGGATCCTTTTGTAATTCAGAAGCTAAGTGTTTTGTATTTCCTTTCCCAAAACAATTTCATTATGTCCTTCTTTTAAAATCGCATACCACATCTTTCAAAACAAAAAATCACTCATGGGAAGTGGGCATAGTTGAGTGGCCAGTATTTATTATCCAGCCCGAGTTGCCCTTGGGAGGGTGGTAGTGAGCTGCCTTCTTGAGCCACTGTGCTGTGGGTAGACCCACAATGACATTAGGGAGGGAATTCCAGGATTTTGACCCAATGACAGCAAAGGAACGGCAATATATTTTCAACTCAGGATGACGAGTGGCTTGGAGGAGAACTTGAGCTAGTGGTTTTCCCATATATCTGATGCCCTTGCCCTTGTTGCAGGTTGGCAAGGTGCTAACGATCTTCTGTGAGTTTCTGCAATGCATCTTGTAGATGGTACACACTGTTGCTAATGAGCATTTCTGGTGGAGAAAGTGAACGTTTGTGGATGTGGTGCTAATCAAGTGCACTGCTTTGTTCTGGATGGTGTAAAGCTTCCCCAGTGATGTTGGAACTGCACTCATAGAGTCATACAAGCACGGAAACAGACTCTTCGGTCCAACTCGTCCATGCCAATCAGATATCGTATATAAATCTAGTCCCATTTGCCAGTGTTTGGTCCATATCCCTCTAAACCCTTCCTATTCATATACCCATCGAGATGCCTTTTAAATGATGTAATTGTACCAGGCTCCACCACTTCCTTTGGCAGCTCCTTCTATACATGCACCACCCTCTACATGAAAATGTTGCCCATTAGATCCCTTTTAAATCTTAACCCTCTCATCTTAAACCTATGCCCTCTAATTTTGGACTTCCTTACCCTGGAGGAAAGATCTTGGTTTTTCATCCCATCCATGCCCTTCATGATTTTATAAATCTCTATAAGGTCACCCTCAGCTTCCGATGCATGGGAAACATGCCCCAGCATGTCTCTCCTGTGTTCAGTCTCTCCCTGTAGCTCAAACCCTCCAATCCTGGCAACATCCTTGTAAATCTTTACTGAACCCTTTCAAGTTTAACAACATCTTTTCTATAGCATGGAGACCAGAACTGAACATAGTATGATAAAAGTACGCATAAAGCAAGTGAGGAGTATTTCATCATACTCCTGACTTGTGCCTTGAGGATGGTGGACAGGCTCTGGAGAGTCAGGAGTTACTCGATGTAGTATTCATAGCCTCTGACCTGGTCTTGTAGCCACTGTACTTATACGGCAAGTCCAGTTCAGTTTCTGGTCAATGGTAACCTCAGGATGTTGATAATGAAAGATTCAGTAATCATAATGCCATTGAATGTCAAAGGGCAGTGGTTTGATTGTCTATTATACAAGATGGTCATTGCCTGGCAATCGTGGTACGCATGTTATTTGCCAATTGTCAGCCCAAGCCTGGATACTGTCCAGGTCTTGTTGCATTTAGACATACTTCAGTCTCTGAGGTGGAGCAAATGGTGCTGTACATTGTGTAATGATCAGCAATCATCCCCAGTTCTGACCTTATGAAGGAGCAAAGGTCAGTGATGAAGTAGCTGATGATGGAGCCTATACCACTATCTTGAGGAACTCCTGCAGAGAAGGTCTCAAATTTTCTTTCCTCCCCTTTGCTAACACATGCTCCATAATTCTCCTTCTCAAGGATTTTTTTAAAATCTACATTTCCTATTTTCTTTCCAGATGAAACTTATATCTCAGTGTTTTAATCTCATCTTTTACATTTATCAGCGTTGAACTGTATCTATCACCATTAAATGGGCTAAATCTGCCATTTCACTCAAGATCACCACTGTCTCCATTGCTATTTTAGTGCCAATGAGTGGGTAGTTTTGTGCTTTGTGCCTATTCTTATTCCCCAAGTTCATTCAATATCGGACTTCACAGGCACTGTCAGAAGGGAATTTTCAGTATCATCAGTCCAGGCTGCATTTCAATCCAAATTACAAATTATACTCTGTGGAATGGATTTATCTTTTAAGCCTTGAAAAATACTTCATTCTGTAAATTAGTGTGCTTGTAAGGTGCAACAAATAGTCTGCCAAATACACATATTTATGTCAAGTCAGTATTTTATTTTGAAAAAATGATTAATATGCATTACGAGCTTTAATTGAATACTTTAAATTTTCTATTGTACCTACCAGCATTCTGAACTGTGGCCACAAAAGAAAGGAATCTGAAGCCAAAGTTTCTCTGGAGCACAGTCTGACCCACCAGCTGCAACACATTCATCAAATGTCTGACAAAGGGGAAGGGTGAGGGAAGAAAGAGAAAGAGATTGCTGCAAGCTAACTGTAAATTAGTACAAGCAGAAATAAGTGCTACCAATCATTTCATGTTCTCAAATCAATGCTTCAGAAGCATCATGATATCAAAGTCAGTATAGAAAATCTTAAGACACTGTATGATTTTTAACTCAATTAATTTTGAACATGTTGCAACAAACCACATATCAACCGAACCAATGTACTAAATGCTTACGGCTCCTTAAATCTTGCTTGGAACAGAATTCCAATTCTTACACAAATGTATATCAAAAACCATTGAGAAAATGTTGGGTGAAAATCTTTTATTAACCTGCCACTCGCTCAATATTGCAACACCAGCTGGGCTTGATAATTTTATTAGAATAAGTCCTAATAAATTGAATTTACAAAACTATACATTAGCCAAGTATGCTGTTAACCAGCATGAGCTGCTAGTATTTAGAAGGCGGTTGTGCTTTTAGAATAATACTGCAGGTTAAGTTGAACTTACTTTGGAATGAAGATGTCCCTGTAAATAGGTTATTAATATGCTTGCCTGTTCAACAAAAAAAAACAAACAAAAGCTGGAATATGAAAACAGAAATTGCTGGAAAAGCTCAGCATTTCTGGCAGCATCTGTGGAGAGAAATCAAAGTTAACATTTCGGGTCTCGTGACCCTTCCTCAGAACATTTTAAACATGTCTTCTGGTTTGTCTTTCATTAGCAATTAATTTCATGGTTGTTATTTTGAATATTGATTGGAGGACCAGTTAATTACAAAATCACAGTCTCATGGTATTCCTTTAACTTCTAGGTCATTTACGATAATGTGTCCAGCTGGAGCCAATCTATAGTATATATCCTTATCAATATGCCTGGAAAGTGGTGGGTGAAGGAGGCAGCCTCCAGTGGCTACGGCAGCAAAGCCAGGATGAGCTGGACACGACTCCACACAGCTCGAGGTCTCCCAGCGAATGAGGAAGAGGTCTCGCGCTGACTTCCCCAGCCTAGACTCACAGGCTAGGCTGAGGCTTCAGGTCCGCAGCTAGGCCCGGGCGCCTGAAGGAGGAGAAAGGCAGCCTCGTCCCTTTGAGGAGGTCTTCTTTGTCTTCGGTATCCAGGCATTCCAGTAGCCTGGCAGGCGGTCTCGTCCAGGAGTGGAAGTTTCAGTCCAGCATGGTGGTTTTCTGTGGCACAGGCTTCCAGCCCAGTATTCCAACAGCCCAGCATGGTGGTCTCGTCCTGGCTGCATCTTTCCTTAATTGGCTTTCCAAAAGCCCAGAAATCATTAACTGAAGAGATGAATTTTACTTATTTTATTATGTATGACTTCTGTCAGTGATGTAGGTGCCATGGTGGGGGCGATGTATCAACTTTTCACTGTATTTTTCATGTACAAGTACACTTCACAATAAATTTCTATTCTATGCTACTCAAGACTGTACTGTTATCAACCAGATATCTCTGCAAAACCAACAGCTATTCATGCTTTGAATCAAATATCACACATCCAAAGAACTCTTACATGCATATCAATAGAAGGGAGGGAGCTCAAGGCTGCAATCTAATTTTGAGGTTCAACTCAACTATTAAAAAATTTGAGATCTGCCTTTGTGATTCACAGTTATTTGACATTCATTTGATTGCATTATATTCTGGTAACTTGAATGATATTATTGTCCATTTACAATTAGACATCTGACAGCAAGAATTACAAGGGTGAACTGAATTCAAGTGAATTTGAAACATAATTTTCTCCAACAATTTTCTGCCATATCTCCTTTCCCAGAGACTCAAGATTAAGTGTCAGCTTTGGCTCAGTTCTCTTGTTCCAAAGTCTGACAGGCAAAGGATGAGAGTAGGGGGAGACAATAGTGTAGTGGTAATGTCACTGGATAGTAAGCCAGAACCTCAGATTAAGATTTGGGGTCATGGGTTGGAATCCTACCATGACTCACATAATAACTTCAATAAAATCTGATATTAAAAGTTAGCCTAATAACAACCAGTGTCAATTGCCATTTAAAAACAAAATCAGGTTCATCAATGTTCTATAGGGAATAGATAAATTCGCCGTCCTTACTTGTTGTAACCTATATGCAGCTCTAGACGCAATATGGATGACTCTTAACTTTCCTCCCAATGGGCCAAGCAAGTTACTCAGCTCCTCAGTAATTAGGGATGGGCAATAAATCCTGGCCTAGCTACCAACACCCATACTCCATGAACAAATGAAAAATGGTTCAAGGCCCAGTTCTGGAACTTGAACACTATCACAGATGACAATTCAAAGCTTTACTGAGGAATGCGGTACTGTTGGGGATGTCATGCTTTGGATGGTTAAGTTAAAATGAAATTGAACCTGCAATTTCAAGGGAATGTAAGAGACACCATGGTCTTACATAAAGACCAGTAGGGGTGTTCTCTTGGAATCGAAGCCAACACCATGGAAACCAGATTACCTGTAGCAAACGTGTGCTATCCGTTTTTACTTTTGTTGCTGTCTTCTTCTCATTCTAATTTCTTTCACCTAATTAATTTTTCAGTCATTCTCTGACCAGCTGCTCATTCTTGCACAACAGTATTTCCACAGGTGTCTTAGCTAAGATGGGTTAACTCCAAAATAGGCAGTTCTAAGCTTTTTTCAAACTTTTTAGTCTCTAGGACTTGGGTGCCTATAGGATAAAGTCACTGAACAATCAGGTAAATCAGAAATTAATTTAGTTAAATTTCATTACTTAATGGAACCAATAAACATTTAGTTTAGCACTAGAAAAATATTAAATAAAACAAAATATGAAATAATTATCTTCATCTTGCAAATATTCCGTTATGAGAGCTAACTCTAAGTCATCTAAGTCATGAACACTGCTTAGTGGCGTAAATGCAACAACTTTGATAGGCAGCTGGACGAAACTAGGTACTACTGAACGCTGCTTCTTTCAAGGTTTAATGTTACTGAGGGCATAAAAGAGACACAGGGTTAGATGGTTAGTAGATTGGGAGAAGTGATTACACAGCAGGATCAGTCAGATATATGGGTGACTGTCAGGAAAGGTAATAAGCCAGTTCAGAAGTCTCCTGTAGCTATTCCTCTCTCAAACAGATACTTAGTTTTGGGTACTGTTGAAAAGGATAGTTTCTCAGAAGAAAATAGACGATGCAGTCAGATCTTGGGCACTGAGAATGAATCTTATGTTCGGCGGGGTTTGACAAAATTTAAAAGAATAATTGTTAAAGAGGACTCTCCCGTCAAGGGCACAGACAGGAGATTCTGCAGCCAGTAGCTTGAAATCTAGGACAGTCTGTTGCTTTCCTGGTGCCAAGATTAAGAATGTCTCAAAACATTTGAAGCATATTATTAGGGGTGTGTGAGAAGCTGGAAGTTATCGTACTAATTGGTAGGAATGACATAGTTAGGGAAAAGATTAAGGCTTTACAGAATGAATATAAGAGGTTAGGCAGAAGACTGAAGAGCAGAACCTCAAAAATAGTAATGTCTGGTTTACTCCTGATGCCAAGCTCAAATGAAGGAAAGAATAAAAGGATAAAGGCGATATATCAACAGCTGAAGATGTGGTATAATGTTCAGGGATTCAGGTTCTTGGATCATTGGCATCTCTTCTGGAGTAGAAAAGACCTGTTCAAAAGGATTCACAGATAGTAGGAACTGCTGATGCTGGAGAATCTGAGATAACAAGGTGTAGAGCTGGATGAACACAGCAGGCCAAGCAGCATCAGAGGAGCAGGAAAGCTGACGTTTCGGGTATGGACCCTTCTTCAGAAA